AATGTAGATAAGAACATTATCATTTTAGCTAATATTTTTGCTTGTTTTTTATTCATATCAAGTTATTGTTGTTAGGAGTCTTTGAATTAGGTTTGATTCATGACTTTTGGGATAATAGATCTGAATTTTATTTTATCTTTTGCCATCGTTATAAGCTCTGATAGGATAGAAACTGTTATTACAGTAACTGTGTCAATGTATCTTGTTGAAGGTCTTCTTCTCTTTTATTAGCCCACTACTTTTCCCAACATGATATCTTTTTCCAAGGACTGGCCCATTCTGACAACATTCATAAAATATTTGATATAAAATTTCACCTTTCTTGGCCTAAGGTATACCCTGGTTGCATTTTCTCAAAGACAAGCATGTTTCAGGCCACAAATGGCAATACTTAAGGATGCTTTTGGCAGAATATTAAATGATCCAAGAAGCATTAAAAGAAAATACAAGGAGTATACAGAGTCATTGCACCAGAAGGAATTGGCTGACACAGAAAAATTTCATGAGACAACTTAGGAGCGAGTGCCTGTGGTGATGAAGGAGGAAGTACAAGCTGCTCTGAAAGAAGTGGCAGGAAACAAGTCTCCAGGAATTGAGGACATACCAATTGACATATTTCAACAAACAGATGCTGCCCTGGATGCGCTCACTAAGTTGTGTCAAGAAATCTGGAGGACAGCCACCTAGACAACTACCTGGAAGAGATCTATAACTTGATGTTAAAAACATAAATAAATACATACATACATAAATGCCAGGAAGGATATTACCCATCTCTTTTCTGCGGAGACACTGATAGGGATTTGAAACTACAGAGAGGTGCTACCTCTACTTTAGCAGTGAAACTGCCTTTAGACTAAGCCACCAGAACTCCCTTCTGACACAAAGGCATCCCTGAAAATTAGAGCTCACGTCTTTAATATCATGTAGTATTAATTTCATACTTTAAAAGGAATATTTTCCTATGCCTTTTAAAAAACTTACAAGAAACTATAACTATGAATGGTAAGGGTATTTATTACACTGGCCATCAACACAACGCAGATGATTCCCACGATCCCAGCCATCATCTTCCCTAGAAGTAATGGGTAGCATACAAACCGAAAGGTGGACGCTTTCAGAAGAATGAACGGATATTTAAAATGTTACATGGAATTCAAATGAACGGTGATAATGTACTTATATATCAGATACTGAACTCATGTTGTGGTGGTTATGTGCCATTGAGTCACCTGCGACCCTATGTACAGCAGCCTAAGCCCTGGTCTTTACTGTGCCAATCTTATTATCTTGGACACACCTAACTCCATTAATCCAGTCACTGAATTCACATCTGTTGTCTCAAAAAATATTGTTACATTTTCAGTGATGTAAAAGTCCGCAGTTGTTCATCTAAAACCACTGATTTCAATAAAAACTGGATAAAATGATTTTTAAGTTCTATAATACCATAGAAAACAGCTCTGGTGGCCTCAGGGCAATAAGCTATGCTGCAATCCTGAAGGCATGCAGTTCAAGGCCACCAGCTGCTCTGCTGCAGAAAGATGAGCAATCTCTTCTCTTGTGATTAACTGCCTCTGAAAACCTGCCAGAGGGTCAGCTGTGGGTCAGTTCTGACCCAGTGGTAAAATCAACAGCTACAACAGTAGAATATAATGTTCATGTCGGGTACTAGCCTCAAAAAAGAGAAGGAAAAAAAGTGAATCTATTTTCTTAAAATAACTTTCCTTGTTTCATATCTCTTCCTACACCTCCTACTTCAGTTATTTTAACTGATAAAATGTTTAATTCTTATAGTGGAGATATTGTCATTATTTTTAAGATCTTGAGAAACATTATTAAGCTCTAATGCCAAATAAATTACTCCCTGCTCTGTGAATGAAATGAAACGATTAGTGTCCTAAAGTTTACTTTGCTTCCCATTTGAGGTTCTTGGTCAAGGTCAGTTTTGAGGCAGTTACTGTTTATTATTTATTTGTGTAGTTGGGAGATGTCAGTCTATGCTCTACAGTAAACAGAATTTAAAAACTAAATCTATACTCAATACCAATAATGTAATAAAATTATTCAGAATTTTGGGCGTATTAAGAATGTATTTTGTGGATTAAAACTTTGAGTCTGTATATTTTGTGACTGCTTATGACCCTGGTACAGAGCTCTGGTGACCTAGTCATGGTGGAATTCATGCTGGTATCCCAAAGGTCACTTACATTAGGTTAGAATCTATCAGTGATTACGGGGGAGAAGGATAAATGTCTTTCATGTAATTTATAGTCTGGAACACCCAATGAGGGTCAATTATTAGGCAGTTTCAACTCTACAGCAATGAGAATTTTGTGTGTATGATCTTGGAAAAACCGAATGTTAACAGAAGTCCTTAATAATAGTTAAGCAATCAAGTACTTGCCCAAACGTGGCACTTTGAATGTACTCAGAGTTGCCCAATGGGTCTAGTGTTGCATACAAAAGGTCTCTATCCTTTTAGGGATATACCTACTATAATAAGTCTATCTGTGTTTTTTACCTGTCTCCTCCAAATGACACACTCTAGCTCAATGAAAGTGAAGAGGATTTTAATTGCTCGCTGCAGAAAATCAAAGACTGCTGGTTTCACTATGGATTATAGCTCAATATTAAGAAAAAAATTTCCCTCACCATTGATTCAATAGACAATGTCACGAGAGATGGAGAAAATAAAATGAAGTGGTCAATTATTTAAATTTACTGAGATATGCAATCAACTTTCTTGGTAATAGCAGCCAAAATATCAAAAAGGCACCTAGCATTGAGAATATTTCCTGGCACATATTTCTCCAGAAATGCAAAAGAACAAAGAATGTTAGTTAAAAAAACTTTTCCTGATCAAGACATGGTATCATCAATTAGTTCCTTTGCATCTGAAAATTGGACTAGGAAGAAGGATTAACAGGGGGGGAAAAATCAACGTCTTTGAATTGTAGTGTTGGAGAAGAGTGCTGAATATCCCATGTTCTGCTCAAATAATAGACAAGTCTAGGTTCAAGGAAGAGTTATTAGGGTGTCCCTTAGAGATAAGGTTGGTAAAACTGTCTCACATAGTTTGGACATGTTATGGGGAGGCACCAGTTCTTGGAAAAGGTATTAGGTTAGGAATGGTGTAGAATCTGGAAAAGAGGAAGACTCTTAATAAGATGGATTGACTCACTGAGTGTAACAATGGATTCAAGCATGTCAGAGACAGCAAGGAGGGCAACAGGATATGGCAAGGTTTAGACATGTTATTCGTAAGACTGTTATGAGTCATAATCACTCAGTGGCACTTAACAACAACAACAACATAGTGTAGAATGGAACAATAAAAATATTTCTGTAAAAGAAATAAAGAAAATGGAAAAGTAATGTAAATTTGAGTTATAAATAAAATCAAATAGTGATTTTATTTAATGGAAAATAAATGATATAGTTCTTTTTATATGCCATTAAGCCTGAAACAGCTCACAACTGATCCTCTAGCAAATGGTCAGAGGCTGCAAATTGCACTGGAGTAAACTGACCATCCTTTTCCCCCCTAACAACAGATGGATTCAAAGTGCCTTCCTTTAGGTTGTTAGCACAACTCTACTCAGTAGACTACCAGAGTTCCATTTTTAAAAAATCTTAAAAATAAATAATGTTTTCAACCAAACACTAAACATGTTTGGATTCATTAAAAATAATCATAATCGAATGCAAATGAGAAATGCTTTAAATATAAACGTAGCCTAAGATGCAAAGAAAAGATAAAAAATATATACTACATAAGATAAACCAGTCTGGTCCTGCCTTCCAGTTCCAGTCTGGGGCTGTTTCCAGTTCCACCCTGCAAGGAGCAAATACTCTGGATTTTGCATCTCCAAAAGCACAAACAGAGGTGGTATAGCACTGGTCTGTGTGTTGCTGTACAGAGGTAACTCGTGGTTGCTGTGATGCTGAAGCCTGTGACAGTGATGTGCCAATCTTGGTAATGGGTACCCATGGTGGACAGTGTTGGCTGGAGCTTCCTGACTAAATCAAGCCTGGAAGCAGGAGTGGCATCCACTTCCAAAATGGCTTGCCTCTGGAAACTCTATGTACGAACAGTGCTTAGGCTGTTCGTTCATAGGGTTGCTATGAGTCGTCTACAACTCGACGGCATTAAACAACAAACAACAAAGATAAACCAGTAGAACACTCATTAGTGTTGCTTGCAACTGTTCCTCTTCCTTTGTGTTTGCCAACTGCAGTGCTTAACCTCACGTGACATATCTACTAATCTAAGAGTGCTCTATTGTACATAGAGTTTTTGAAGGCCTATTATTTTGGAAGTGGATGGCCAATCCTTCTCCCTAGTCTCTCTTAGTCTGGATGCTCAGCTTTAGAGCAATATCTGACAGACAAGTGTTCTTTTACACAGTAGAGCAAATGAAAGATATTTCCTTATTACAAAAGTTACTAAAGAAGAAAGCCCTACAACATATCCATAACTGCTATAATCTTTATTTCAATAAATAGGTTTTCTGAGTATCTATTAGCAAAAGAAGATAAAGGACTACAACCTTTGATAGTAATTGTATCTCAAGATTTTAAAAAGCAGTGGTCCTCACCAGTAGCCTAACGTGTACATCATAATAAACAGAGAAAATATTGAAACTGTTAATGATTTTATCTTGCTTGCTTCAACAATCGGCACTCCAGGTTCCATCAGTAAGGATATCAGAAGACTTACTGCATTAAGTAAGTTTATTGTTGGGTCTTCTTCAAAATACTGAAGAATAATGATGTCAGTTTGAAAAGTAAGGTGCAACTGATTAAGGCCATAATCTTGTCAATCTCATGCTATGTGCCTGAGAGCTGGCCAATGAATAAGGGAGACAGAAGATGAATCAGTTCTTTTGAGTTCTGCTGTTGGAGGAGAGCAATGAATATCCCATGAACTGCAAAAAGAATAAATAGGTACATTTTGGAAAAAGTGTGACCAGAGTGCTCTTTAGAGGCGAGGATGGTCAAACTTCCCCTCAATATGTTGGACATATTATGAGAGGCTATTCCTTGGAAAGAGAAATCATGCTTGGAAAGTTGGAGGGTCAATGAAAGAGAGGAAGTCTCCCTGCAATGAGATGAATTTCCCACAGCAACAATGGATGCAAGTGTGTTAGATATAATGAAGATGACACAGGATAGGGCAGTGTTCAGCTCTGCTGTTCATTAATCCAACATTGCCAACTTGATAGCATCTAACAACAACAAGAGAACATTAGTCAGCCCTTCCCTGTATTGCCACTTCTCTGGACTCTTATCTTTCACAGGGTTTTCCTGTTACTCTAACTAGTGATGGCCAAAGTTAATTTTCTGTAAAGTGGGTTCTTTCAATAGAAGCAAGACTATTCCGAATTCCATTATCGTATATAACACAGTCTGTAATCCCACAGATAATCAGTTTTGGCAGAACCATTGCATGCATGGCAGACAAATCCATATCCAAAGTAAGTGTTTATGCCCTGATAATGGATACTACCCTTTCTTTGATAGATGCTGTCCAATGTAGAACTTGTTATCAGGTTGCTGGCTTGTTATACCTTGGAAAATGATGTCTATTGGGAACTGAGCATCAGCTTCTGTTTCTTTTTTTTTTTTTTCTATAATTAAATTAATCAATGACTGTAGCTAGTTTTACCCTGGTTGGTTAAAACATTGCTGCACCCATTGCCCAGGAATTTTAAATTTGTTCCTATTTTGAGTCATGATCTTATGGTTTTTCATTTTACCCTAGGTCTCTGATACACTTTGAGTTAGTTTTTATGTGTATGATTTATGATGTGGATGACGTTTCACTTTGCTGCAAGGAGATATTCAGTTTTGCCAGGACCATTTGTTTAAAAGACTATTGTGTTATCCCTTTTAACAGGATTATTACCTTGTCCTTAACAATAAAATTATTACATTGCAACTCCCTGGAATACTTTTGGTAGATTGTCTTCCCCCCAGCCCCCTGTACTCTATCTTCTTATACATAAATAGGGAATACTTTCCCATTTAATTATATTGCTTATTGCTTCTTATAGTAGTATTTTGTAGTTT